CCTAGCTCTGCGTTCCAGCTCATTTCCCAGTCCTTTCGATACTGACGAAGTATATATGGTGAAACAGCTTTTGTTCAAAACACATTTCGTTAAACGAATCCGCCCTTATTTTACCAATCGATTGGGTGAGTGAGTATGGTTTTACGCCGCTTTTAGCAATATTCCAGCATTATCAGAGCAGGGGACACCGAAAAATGGGCTTCACACATTGTACCCATTGAATCTAACCCGGGTCTTCGGCGTGACCTGTCTACGCTCTTAACAACTAGGCTAACGGCCGTCCCTTTACGTATCGATTGGCCCAAGCCTGATGCAATATGCGTCATATTTCATTTCAATAATTATATTTTTTTTATCGTTCCACCATTCATTAAATGATCTGTTCATTCATTCATGTCTTTGTTTTTATGGTACCTGTAGGCGTTTCCTGTTTGGTATATATGATTTGTATGTATTTTTTTCCTCACTGTAACATAACCTCACGTCACCGGCACTTGATAACAACCTGCTACCCATCAGTGCAGACATGTCTAATTGCACGAATACATTTATTACGGTTTTTTTCATAATATGGTTCTGAGAATCGATCCGTTGTATTCACCTCGTAGCATATTAGGTTTGTTCAGCCTTGGCGTATTCATATATCACTCAACCAGGTTTTGTTTATATTCATCCGTGGAATTGAATAGAAAACGAAATGAATGAAGAATGAATCGATGGCCTTGGTAGTTGTTTAGTCTAGGCGTCCGTGGAGGACTATTTTATTACGCAGAACAGCAAAGGGGCTGTTTTATTGGTGTAACACGTGAACATATTACTTCGCCCCACATTCATACGTACGTTATAAAATCCGTGTTTAAATGTGACTCAAGATAGATTGCCTTTGAATATTAATAATAACTATGCTTAAAGCGCTTTTATAACCCCCATCACTGGATGGGTGTGCACTCAAGAATCATTGTCAACTCCCTGGGGAGTATACAGCCGAGGCTGCCAGTTAGGCCCAAGAAGGTTAACAACCAGATTGTCATCGCATCCTACCGGGTACCCATTCACTGCTGGATTTCTGACAAAATTTAGAATAGCTGATTATTTCGTAATTCTAGGTGATTTATATGTTTGTGTATATGAGATGGTATTTCCTTACAATATCCTACATACGGGTACTATCAAACTGAATACCAAGAGGCTTCACAACTTGTATAAATAGGAGTCGAACCCAGGTCCAGTCAGCGTGTCAACCACGAAGCTACTCCACCACCACGTGGAAAACGGGAAGGTCTTAAGCCGTGAATGTTGTTTTACGCCTTATTTCACCAACATCAAACAGACCCGTGAAGATCTTGGGTAGAATAGGTCTTCAGCAACCCATGCTTGCCGTAAAAGGCGACTATGCTTGTCGTAAAAGGCGACTAATGGGATCGGGTGGTCAGGCTCGCTGACTTGGTTGATGCATGTCATTGATCCCAATTGCGTGGATCGATGCTCATGATGTCAATCACTGGATTGTCTGGTCCAGACTCGATTATTTACAGACCGCCGTCATAAAGCTGTACTATTGCTGAGTGCGGCGTTAAACAACAAACCAACCAACATCAAAGAGGACCAAACCAGTGGTTGACAACTGAGCACCGCCGGGTCACGCTGACCTACTGTCAGGTCACAGGGCATACACGGGGCCATCGTTAGTTGGCTTCAACATGTATGAGATACTGACGACCTATGCTACCCCGAAACCTCCACGGGTGTATGTATGGGTTAAGGCTTACAACCCTCCGGACCAAGCCGACTTGGTGAACTTGTAGATAACCATGTGGTGCGGGAATGTGACACCGAGATTTCATGACAGCAGGTTCAATATTTCCATGGAGCAGCTTCTAATGAGTATAAAGCCTGCAGACTATATGGGTCATTACAGTGCAGGTTGAGGAGGCGGTTAAGTACACATGTAATGAAAGAAGCTGTCGTGAGCGAACTCAGACAAGCACATCCGTGGTTTTCTCTGGTGATTTATGAACTATGAGTAAGACGCGCTATTGGTGTTTCACGTACAATTAATGTCATGCTAACCTACCCATCCACTCGCTGACTCGAGAATTAGTTGTTTGTACACACGTGATGTTTACAGGTATGACCCCAAACTTGTACACACGTGATGTTTACAGGTATGACCCAACACTTGACCACACGTGATGTTTACAGGTATGACACCACGCTTGTACACACGTGATGTTTACAGGTATGAGTGAGTGAGTGAGTGAGTGAGTGAGTGAGTGAGTATGGTTTTACCCCGCTTTTAGCAATATTCCAGCAATATCACGGCGGGGGTCACCAGAAATGGGCCTGACACATTGTACCCATGTCGGGAATCGAACCCGGGTCTTCGGCGTGACGAGCGAACGCTTTAACCACTAGGCTACCCGACCGCCCCTTACAGGTATGACCCCACACTGTACACGCGTGATGTTTACAGGTATGACCCACACTTGTGCACACGTGATGTTTACAGGTATGACCCCACACTTGTACACACGTGATGTTTACAGGTATGACCCACACTTGTACACACGTGATGTTTACAGGTATGACCCCACACTTGTACACACGTGATGTTTACTGGTATGACTCCACACTTGTACACACGTGATGTTTACTGGTATGACCCCACACTTGTACACACGTGATGTTTACTGGTATGACCCCAAACTTGTACACACGTGTTGTTTACAGGTATGACTTTATGAACATGTGTCTGGATGTCGGATATATTCAGCTGGTGATACCGGTTGGCCTTACTTTAGGAATACTCAAAACTCACGCACGCACGCACGCACACGCATAGATCTTTTCCCACTAAATGTATGCTTGGTTTTAGAAACAGCTCCTATAAGCCCTCACGTCAGTAACTCCAGCAGTCATTGGTGCAGCTCCTATAAACCCTCATGTCAGTAACTCAAGCAGTCATTGGTGCAGCTCCTATAAGCCTACACGTCAGTCCCACAGCAGTCATTGATGCAGCTCCTATAAGCCTTCACGTCAGTCGCCCCAGCAGTCATTGCTGCAGCTCCTATACACTTACACGTCAGTCGCTCCAGCAGTCATTGCTGCAGCTGCTATACACCTACACGTCAGTCGCTCCAGCAGTCATTGCTGCAGCTGCTATACACCTACACGTCAGTCGCTCCAGCAGTCATTGCTGCAGCTGCTATACACTTACACGTCAGTCGCTCCAGCAGTCATTGCTGCAGCTCCTGTAAGCCTACACGTCAGTCGCCACAGCAGTCATTGCTGCAGCTCCTATACACCTACACGTCAGTCTCCCCAGCAATTATTGCTGCAGCTCCTATAAGCCTACACGTCAGTCTCCCCAGCAGTCATTGCTGCAGCTCCTATACACCTAAACGTCAGTCGCCCCAGCAGTCATTGCTGCAGCTCCTATACACCTGCACGTCAGTCGCCCTAGCAGTCATTGCTGCAGCTCCTATAAGCCTACACGTCAGTCGCCCCAGCAGTCATTGGTGCAGCTCCTATAAGCCTACACGTCAGTCGCCCCAGCAGTCATTGCTGCAGCTCCAATACACCTACACGTCAGTGGCCCAAACAGTCATTGCTGCAGCTCCTATAAGCCTACACGTCAGTCGCTCCAGCAGTCATTGCTGCAGCTCATATAAGCCTACACGTCAGTCGCCCCAGCAGTCATTGCTGCAGCTCCTATAAGCCTACACGTCAGTCGCTCCAGCAGTCATTGCTGCAGCTCCTATAAGCCTACACGTCATTGCTGCAGCTCCTATAAGGCTACAGGTCATTGCTGCAGCTCCTATAAGCCTACACGTCAACTCCATCAGGTAATTATTTCGTCAGCAGCACGATAATACTACTTGTCAGTCCTTCAAATAAACATTGATGCAGGTCTGAAAAACGCCAGGTGCACCAGCACTTATTGACGCAGCTCAGATATAAGTAAGTCGCCCCAGCAATCATTGCGTCAGCTTCTGTACACGTCAGAGGCTCCAGCACCATTGGTGAGCCAAGGTGACGAAATTTAACATGCGCCTGCACCGTTTGCGCAATTGTCAGCGCCCCATGAATCGATGACCCATTCTGACGCTCTGGATACCCTGCGTTCTACTGCTATATTGCTATTTTATAGCTTATGTAAGACGACTATAGTGCCACAAATACCAGCAGTTAAATCAATGATTTGTATTTCATTTCTGAAACAACACTACTGAGACGTAATATTTCATTGGCATTGTCCGAAGCAAGAACCTTTTCGCCTCGAACACATACATCATGATTTGTTTATATTCGTAAGGTAGGTCGGTCTGGTATGTTATACTTTCCATCCCATTTAGTATTACTTGTGTTTATTGCAAATATTCGACTACAATGTTGAAGTTCAAGCAAGCAACAGCTGTGTATTGGCACTGTACTATTTCAACAAACTGTTAGACGCAGCTGTGGCAATTGTTAATCGAATCTGGTTTCACAGATAATTCGTTCGACAGAATACATTCACACAATTAGTATAACACAAAATGATTGGTCATGGTAACACAGGGCATCCCTCCAAGCTTAATTGTCACAAGTGAAGTACAGTAAACTACGGTTATAACGAACTCAAAGGGACTACTAATTTACGTCGTTATAACCGTAATTCGTTATAAGCATTATACAGCAGAACTACAGCATATAGTCGGGACTAAAAAGTTAGTTCGGTATATCCGTTAGTTCGTTATAACCGTGTTCGTTTAACCGTAGTTTACTGTACATGAAAATCCTAAATGCTATCATGTCATGCGAATGTCCCATTCCATCTGGACCATGTCATGTCAGCAGATTGGTTCATACAATGCAAGTCTCACGATTGGAGCCTTTCATTGGTTAAACACTACATAACGTTTTCTAACGGAATTCTTTCCTATCAAAGATGTTTTAACGATACGTCCAGTCACAGTGGTGTTTACAGGAGTGTATAGCATGGTGCTGCATGTGCTTACCTCGCAATTACTTATACTCAGCTTCTTCAGATTGCTCATCCTGTTGACCGAGTCCCACAACTGATCCATCTCCACGGGCACAAAATGAAGACACAACACCCCAATTAACTTGGAGTAGCCATGTTCAGTTAAACTCGTCACTATTCGTCCCCCTTCCCTCATGGCGCGTTCACTTCTCACGTCGTTTAGCGGTAAGCCAGAGTTAATCTTAAGTTTAATTGTCTCCAGATTGCGCAGGGAATCTATAAACCTCTCCACCCCTTGGCTTGAGATACTCCAGCAGGCATTTATAGAAACTTCACGGAGTCGAGGGAAGTACATTCCGATTCTTTCCAGGTCCGTATCACTTAAGGCATAACCGCCGTTGATCTGAACATGTTCGAGGTTTGTTAATGTCTGGAGACTCTCAACTACAGCCCTGGTCCATAGGATAGGCAGTCTCAGATACTTCAGATTCCTTAGTCGAGCTATCAGTGAGAAGACGCTCTCGTAAACCAGCGAATGTTCCCGCCATGTAAGTTTCTGAACATGATACCCGTATAGCCGAAATATGCAGCACACAAGGCTGAAATGCCCGTAGGAATATTGTGACGGGTCGATATGGAGGGATCTCCATAGGAAACCAGACGTTAAAAGGATGTGTCTCCATTTATGGCAAACGAGAGCCAGGGAAGGCAGGCGGTCTTCAATCGGGCGAAGGTAGCCGAAAATCCGGGCAAGGACCTCATCGGGGAGATGGTTGATATTATAGGGAGAGTATGGGACAGTGCATAACGGTACGACGCCCTGTTCTCTGCCGGTTGGAATGTCATCCCCATCAAGCAAGCGGTGATAGTGGGCCAGGTTAGGCGTCCACCTGAAATTATTATATCGCTCCATACCTGATCTCCAGCCTGTTGAACATACATGGTCCGAGTCTACTCTCACGTTGATGACAACATTGTAAGAAGAGGTTCATTCATAAAACGCCCACACGTCCTAGCAGCCGATTAAGTCCAACCGCAGACGACAAATTATCACGTGACTCCATGACGCATGTGGTGTTGAGTGGCGTAGGCCTCAGGTGATTGAGATATTTTCAAAGCCGACGTGGACCAGGAAATCAATATTTTGATATAGTCAGCTGGTTAAAGTTGCCACGTGGTTAGAGTGGTCTGTAGCTTCTCGGTAAATACAGTTATAGCAACACTGAAGTGAGAATGAAACTACGACGGGGTGGGCTGTTCCGCTGGTCCGTGACAGACAGTTCACCTTTCTCAATTTTAACTCATTATTTTGAATGTTTGAATGTCAGTACCAACCAGCATCACTCCACAGCAACAGCTGGTGCTGGGTGTAGGAACAATGTGTACACTGGCAAAGAGATTTAAGTGATCAATAGCTAGTGTTGAGGTTGTCTAGATACTGAAGCTCACCTTCCTTGTGTAGCGTTTATATACTCACCGACAAAAGGTGAGATCAAATGGGGTTTAACGTCGCGTCCAAGATTATTACACTTATATAGCGACGTGCATGTACGTGTGTGTGTGGCTGCTTGTACTAGTCTGGACTGATGCCGATTTATAGTGCTAGCTCACTGCGATACCATGCTGCAGTTTAACATAAATATCCCACTCAGACACAGTATACTGACTCCTAGCCGACCAGTCCTTGTTTTAGCCCCTTAATGCCGAGCGACAGGGTAACAACAAGTACCATCTTTTAACGTCTTTTGGTATGATGTGGTCGGGAATCTCACCCCGGACCTTCCACTCTCCGGGCGGACGTTATACCACCAGACCACGGAGGCGGTCTCGCCCACAAAGAAACGTGAATACCATATGTTAGTTAATATTTGAAGAATTACTCATATTCAAGAGATATTAGATTGCTTTGATGCACAAACGAACATACTGGTATGTTGTGTGAACCGACGCTCATGAATGCACCACGTGTGACGTCATAGGTCCATGACTCGAGATGCACCATTTTTCTCATGCAGGTTAGCGTGTAAAGTTTGTAATTCACGTACAGCATATTGTTATAAGAATAAAGACACTGGTAACACTTGACTGATTGTTATTTTTGTCATTAACTGATAAGCATTGGAAACATCTCTTCTTAAGGTACAGACTTCTCTATATGTTTCTATGGTTCACGTTACTTTTGGCAGGTTTGATGCAACTGTGAATAATTGTGTGTGTGTTGTTTAACGCCACGCTCAGCAATATTCCAGCAATATTATGGTCTGGACTAGACAATCCAGTGATTGACATCGTGAGCATTTGAGATTCTCAGCAATGTTCCAGAGAGAGAGAGAGAGGAGAGAGAGAGAGAGTTCTGTATGCACCATCCTCAGTATCACTGCAGCTATTTCACAACAGCTTGTAAGTTATTTAGACTGGGCCAGACATCTTCGTGACAATCCACATAGTTGAGGCACGATGACACACAAGCCATTATGTGCTCAAGTAGCATGAGTGAGTGAGTGAGTTGGGTTTAATGCCGCTTTTAACACTATTCTAGTATTATCCTGACATGTCAGCTTGATGTGGGAGGAAAGCCCGAAGTCTTAAAAGTTTACGACTTTGGTGAAACCCATTAGCAAGGGTATGGTGCTGACATACCAAGAAACAATATAGGGGTGAATAGGGATTCGAACCCACAATCATGGGTTTCTGGCATGCCCAAGGGAGGCAACTCTTCACAGCGAATTGCAGCGCCCTAGACGACTGGGCCACCCGTGCCGCCTCAAGTAGCATGATTTGGTTGGTTTGTCGTTTTACGCCTCTATCACGGATCTTCACGGGTCCCAAGTAGCATGAAGTAACCTGTACCTTTCAGACTAATAAACACTAGTTTTTATTCTGTACATCACACTGTAAAAACTGATAATGCCCCATCCATAATGTATAGAGGACCTAATGATTGTGTGACACTCTCCCAAGAGAAATTTTGAATGGCATGGCAACTAAATAAATGATGAATGAGTGAGTGAGTGAGTATGGTTTTACGCCGCTTTTAGCAATATTCCAGCAATATCACGGCGGGGGACACCAGAAATGGGCTTCACACATTGTACCCATGTCGGGAATCGAACCCGGGTCTTCGGCGTGACGAGTGAAAGCTTTAACCACTCGACTACCCGACCGCCCCAAACAAATGATGAATGAAATCAGTTGACAGAAAACATCAACAGCAGAATACATTGGACATTTTAATAAAAAATATTTCCGTATCACAGTCCCCTCTCATGTGCCCTTCAGCTCATCGATTCTCCGGACTATTGTGTCGAGACTGGCACTCAGGTCATCACATGGCTTCTGCAGTTTCTCGGCCAGCGTTTGTGTCACTGGGTCTGTGTTTGCCTGCTGAAATACCAAAGAGAACATAAGCTGCAGAACAATCAGCTTGAACAAATTCAAAATATTTCAACTTCTGACAGTGGGATTGAATGCAAATATGCCAAGTCAGCAATATTTCCGCTTTATCATGGCTGCCTCAAAATACAGTCCTGTTATTCTGGAAGATGTATTTCCTTGTGAAATTTTATGGTTGGTTGGTTGGTTGGTTGGTTTGTTGTTTAACGCCGCACTAGGCAATATTCCAGCTGTATGACGGCGGTCTGTAAAAAATCGAGTCTGGACCAGACAATCCAGTGATTGATATCATGAGCATCGATCCACGCAATTGGGAACAATGACATGCTTCAACCAAGTCAGCGAGCCTGACCACCCGATCCCGTTAGTCGCCTTTTACGACAAGCATGGGTTGCTGAGGACCAATTCTACCCCTGAATCTTCACGGGTCGAAATTTGATGGCGAAACTTAAGATTAATAAATATGGACTAACACAACCTAAAACAGGAGCTATCCAATGGTAAAGCTTTCCAACTGTAAGCATTTTACCATAACTGATTCTAGCACAGACAACCCTGGAATACAGAACACATCCAGTTGACCCTAGAAAGAAATGCTTCTACCTTTAACTTGACCAGGAGGCTTCTCAGCATCAGTTTGGCCGATGACAGAGAGTTGATTGCTTGTGACGGAGCACCACGCTCGGCAAACTTGAGATGTTCTGAAAACAATAAATATGCATACGATACAAACATGTTGGATGGGAGCAAAGACAGTTGCCATAGTTACCAGGATACCAATGCAGCTACAGTGCAAACATGCTTCACCATTTGGTGAGAGCCAAGACAGTTGTCATAGTTACCAGGAGACCAATGCAGCTACAGTACAAACATGCTTCACCATTTGGTGGAAGCCAAAACAGTTGTCATAGTTACTAGGAGACAAATGCAGCTGCAGTGCAAACATGCTTCACCATTTGGTGGAAGCCAAAAAAGTTGCCATAGTTACCAGGAGACAAATGCAGCTACAGTACAAACAAGCTTCACCATTTGGTGGGAGCAAAGACAGTTGCCATAGTTACCAGGAGACCAATGCAGCTACAGTACAAACAAGCTTCACCATTTGGTGGGAGCCAAGACAGTTGCCATAGTTACCAGGAGACCAATGCAGCTACATTGCAAACAAGCTTCACCATTTGGTGGGAGCCAAGACAGTTGCCATAGTTACCAGGAGACAAATGCAGCTACACTGCAAACATGCTTCACCATTTGGTGGGAGCCAAGACAGTTGCCATAGTTACCAGGATACCAATGCAGCTACAGTGCAAACATGCTTCACCATTTGGTGAGAGCCAAGACAGTTGTCATAGTTACCAGGAGACGAATGCAGCTACAGTACAAACATGCTTCACCATTTGGTGGAAGCCAAAACAGTTGTCATATTTACTAGGAGACCAATGCAGCTGCAGTGGAAACATGCTTCACCATTTGGTGGAAGCAAAGGCAGTTGCCATAGTTACCAGCAGACCAATACAGCTTCAGAAGAAACATGCTTCACCATTTGGTGGGAGCTAAGACAGTTGCCATAGTTACCAGCAGACCAATACAGCTTCAGTACAAACATGCTTCACCATTTGGTGGGAGCAAAGGCAGTTGCCATAGTTACCAGCAGACCAATACAGCTTCAGTACAAACATGCTTCACCATATGGTGGGAGCTAAGACAGTTGCCATTGTTACCAGCAGACCAATACAGCTTCAGTACAAACATGACCCATCATTAGGTTGGCACAAGGGCAGCTGTTATAGTTACCTGTAGCAAGTTGCTGAGACTGCTTTGCAACAATCACACACTGATCCACATCCTTCTCCCAACCTGAGGTCTGCATCACACATCGGTGAGCCTTCTGAAGGTACTGCACAGCCTGCAACACAGAGGTTACTGATACAGAGGTCATGGATACAGAGGTCATTGATACAGAGGTTTCATACAGTATTGTCAATATACAACACAGAGGTCATGGATACAGGTCACTGATACAGAGGTCATGAATACAGAGGTTACGGATACAGAGATCACGGATACAGAGGTCACTGATACAGAGGTCATTATACAGAGGTCATTGATACAGAGGTTTCATACAGTATTGTCAATATACAACACAGAGGTCATGGATACAGGTCACTGATACAGAGGTCATGAATACAGAGGTCATGGATACAGAGGTCATTATACAGAGGCCATGGATACAGAGGTCACTGATCCAGAGGTCACATACCATATTGTATATATACAACACAGAGGTCATATATATATACAACACAGAGGTCATATATATATATACAAAGGTCACATACAATATTTTACTTCAATAAAGGTCACATACAATATTATATATATATACCACAGAGGTCACATTTGATATACAACAGAGGGTTCACACAGGATATTGTCTTACATACAACACAGAGGTGGCATGTGATATTTATCAATTACTGACCATTCTTGAGGGCATTATCATCTTTTATGGGCCCAAGAAACTGATACTGACCGAGGCCAGTGCATAGTTTTTGCATATTGACCTTGTGGTGGTGAGGTGAGGTGAAATTGGGTTTAATGTCGCAAGATTATTGCACTTATATAGCGACGTGCATGCACATGTGTGTCCGGACTGATGCCGATTTATAGTGCTAGCTCACTGAGATACCATGCCGCAGTTTAACATGAATACTCCACTCAGACACAGTATACCGACTCCAAGCCGACCAGTCCTTGTTTTAGCCCCTTAATGCCGAGCGCCAGACAGGGTAACAACAAGTACCATCTTTTAACGTCTTTTGGTATGACACGGCCGGGGATCAAACTCCTGACCTTCCGCTCTCCGGGCGGACGCTCTACCACAAGACCACGGAGGCGGTCTAATGACCTTGTGAAGAGTAAGTATTTGTATACTATACAACACGACATTGTCTTGATATTGTCTCATATACAACACAGAGGTCACATACAAAGACACAAGATATAGGAGACACACTGCAACAGCTGACAGCTAGTCTACCCATTAGGTCACCCAGCCAATCAATACTCTGCCAATCGTCCAACTGATCCACTATTCTTTGAACATGACCTGCCCTGTTCTTACTATATGGTATATTTACTGTTTCATAGTGCCACGGAGAAGACTCTAAAGGTCAAGTTTCCACCCTTGCGAACTAGGCTGGAAGTTTCAGGCTCGATCGTAGCGCCACCAGTGGCTATTATGAGTTACGTCCCTTCTATATCACTCCTATTGACCAATCAGATTCCACCTTTCATATCACTTGCATTTACTTCAAACAAAATGGCGACGCCCAATGAAGACGATCTGATCGATAATGAAAGTCAATATTGCAGTAAAACGGGTCTTATTCGCGAAGTGCATCAAATCACGTGAGAATATTGATTAAAAACATAAAAAGATTTGGAAAATATATGTTGGCGCAGAGTTGGAGGTACACATGCTTTGCAAATTATGCAACAGACAGAAATCTGCACGACAGTTGACGAACCGGATGTCGATTTGTTACACGATTTTGATTGGACTATGCATAGACTCGTTAGTCCAGCCAAAATATAACTCCATAATTCCAGCCTAGTTCGGCAAGGGTGGAAACTGGACTTTTACAGTCAGTTTAGTCCCTTGCATCAGGAAGATGGCTTCCCCCAGGCACCTACCTTCTCGGATGTTGTTTGATCGGGGTGCTCCACACTGCTGACAAGCTTGCTGTAGAGACGCCAGATCTCGGACTCTGTCGTCACCTGGGGATGGAAATGTCAAGGTCAGCACTTATTTTTTTATTTAAGAAATAAACAACGAGTGGGAGTTGTTTATCGTACAATAAAACACTGCAGGGAGAATAAAGGGGCTCAGCCTAAATTATATAATGATTCCCTTAATAATCCGACCTCAAAACCTGGGTTTGGTATTTCCAGCATATTCTCCCAGTCCTCACGTCGATCACCTGTACCTTTTCTCCCAATACCGATTGTCATATCTCTCCCGCTTTTGGATGCAATTGGTCAGCCACTATGTTTATCTGCATAGCCCAGTAACATCTATGGTCTTCTCACTGGACACTTCTCTCTCTTAAAGTTATATGATGTCATCAAGTTGCGAGCCAATATTCGAATGTCCAGAAATGACATCATGCTAGAACAATGTTTTATTGTGAAATAAACCATGCTTCGTTTTTCATTGTCCTTGGCGATTTATCGTGAAGCTATCTTATACATACTTCCTTCAGTGTCGTTTGTTGTTATGATTACATTTATTTACTCAATTCCTTTGAAATGAGGATGTCATGTCACAACCCTCTAGACTTCCATCAGCCACGACTTACTGCTGCTGTGACACGACCAAACAGTTCCTGGAGCTTTGGGCGGAGTCGGGCTGAGGGTTGGTCTCCCGCATCCTTCAGGTTCTCAGTTACCGCGTTGACAAGGATTCTCAAAACCTGAAATATTGTATACATTAACTTTCAGGAATTATTACACTCTAATGATTCATCAAAACAACAGTCCTACATCTTGCTGTCTATGAATTAACAGTCCTAGCATTTTGGCGTCTATGAAACAACAGTCCTAGCATCTTGCTGTCTATGAAATAAAATCATGAGGTCTGATTTGATGGTGTTATTTATTATGTGTCAGTCACTTTCATCTCACAAAATGGAAAACAGAGACATTGGCAGAATATCTGCGACATGTAGATTGGAACATGTTTTTGAAGACATCCTACGTGTTGAGTCTTGCAATTCAGTGTCTATAAACAATTTCAACACTGACCTGTACATCAGTCCACTTCTGTTTAATGTCCATCAGTCGATGATAGGCATGGATAACATCCTCAAACTCTCCAATATCAGTACCGATCTGTGGACAAACAAGCATGAAATACTTATATCCCCCGCCAATATGAGAGGTCTGGTTGTGTGCAAGCTACTAGGCCTATCTATGTGCCAAGTTTGGTGAAGAAATATTGTACGGTTTTCAAGATCTTTCAAATCTGTAGCTATGGAAACTCAAAAAATATTTTTTTCAAAATTCCCAAACTATCAAAAGGCACCAGTTTACCACTAGATCTATCTATGTGCCAAGTTTGGTGAAGAAATATACAGTTTTCAAGATCTGCGAAACGTGACGAACGGACAGATGGAAAGATGGACAACAGCACCCATTCCTACATTCCCCTTCCACTTCGTAGCAGGGAATAATAACACACTCAAGGGTAACATGGTGGCTGAGTGTCAGAGTCGTCACGATACACCGACCTTGTGTATTATCCACACAGATACTTGAGTCCATGCGTTCAAGGTTCCTTGTTTCCTGGCTAACAACAGGTTGGTTGCTGTCCCCCAGATTGTGTTTCACTCAAATGATTTGACTTGTTCTTATAACACTATGCAATTAACATTTTCTCCTACAGCCCTGTAGGCCGTAATACTGTAAATCTGGAAATTAATGCATCTCCAAATAGTTACGACTGCTGTCCCCGTAGCCAAAATTGCGACTCAATATCAATGCGACTCCCCCCACCCCATCCCTAGTGGAATGACACATTACCTTAATCCAATCAAATAGCAAATAGCACCGCTAATTAGTGCTGCGTAGAACACTTCCGTAAAAACAATTAACAGTGTTTTCCTAAAAACAACACACAGTTTATATGTTTACTCGGTTGACTGGCATTAAGGAAGTTTAAAGGCAATAAAATAATTGAACCAACGACGTTCACTGACTGGTATGCGGAGGTGTCAACAAGTTGGACATGAGTGGGTAGAACTCTTGACCCCAGCAGTGATAACTCACCAGATGCTCATTGTGTAATTCCTATTCTTTAACTGACATTGTTACATACTTGTTATAACTGCTGCTCAATAAACTGTGTTTGTGTTTATATTCAAGTTTGTATTTCCGCTATCTAAAGTGTGCAGTGAGGCCGTGTTGTTGTTGATAGTCTTTTGGTGACATAAATGTGAAGTTTCATTCATGCGAACAAAGAGCACTTGCATTTTTCGCATTTCATTCACGTTCTCGTATATTTCCAGATTTGCAAAACTTCCTAAATACCGTATTCGACGTAATAAGCGCCCAGAGTGCTCTCAAAATTAGAAATAGGGAGCCCTTATTAGAATATAATTTTGGTGAACGATCGTAAATTTTGTGGTTTATGCTGACAGCCTGATATGATAGAAAAGAAAAAAAACTGTGCGCATAATACTTGACAGATATATTTTTCCAGAATTTAATTGCGCATAATTAACGGTGCATATAACACATGAGTGCGTATTATATACGAATAAATAAGTCTTGTGTACATTGATCAATCAGAAGGGTGCTAATTGGGATTGTTCACTAGCCAATATATTAGCAAATATCGCCGGGGCGCTTATCAGAGCAGGACGCTTTTTTGGTGTCTAATGTCTTACATACAACATGCAACAAGGAACTTGTTTTCACCTGATATTCCTGATATCATTCACACTTCAGTGAGGTGAGGTGAAATGGGGTTTAACATCGCATACAAGATTATTGCAGTTATATAGCTACGTGCATGTTCATGTGTGTGGCTGCTTGTACTAGTCCTCACTAATGCTGACGTTAGAAAAACAATAACATTATAAACAATAGAATTTAACTTTTCTCACATTAACCTGCCAAGGGCACTGCAGAGCTCCAGATAAGCTGCGTATCTGCGTAAAATACGCATCAGAAATGCAGAAATACGCAGTAAAATAATATCCAAGCGTATCAAATACGCAACGAACATTACAGATATGCTACAAAAATAAAACTTGTGCGTATATTCAAAATATTGTGAAGTAACCCTGCGTATTCGATTGGCAAATCAGCAACTTATTTTGAAATTATAAACGGGCATTCCGTCAACCTTGCCAAACTCCACGATGACAGTTACATCATGATCATTTGCCATCACACTTTCTTGTGGAAGTATCGTGGTATTTTTGAGTCCTATAAAACTCTCGAACCCACACAACACCAGTTTGCAGGGACTAGATGAATAGTGTTTTTAAATATTTATCTTAAATACCCACATGTGTAAAAACTAGTGGGTAACAGAAATTTGAATACCCAGATAGAATAGCTGATACGCAGTGATTTTAAAATGCATGGGTAAAATACCCACAACACCAAAAGCTTATCTGGAGCTCTGTTGTAGTGCTGGTCCACTGAGATACTATGCCGCTGTTTAACATGAATACCCCCCTCAGACACAGTATACTGACTCCGAGCTGACCAGTCCTTGTTTTAGCCCCTTAATGCCGAGCTCCAGGCAGGGTAAAAACAAGTACCATCTTTTAACGTCTTTTGGTATGACACGTCCGGGGTTCGAACGCCGGACCTTCCGCTCTCCAGGGGGATGCTCTACCACTAGACCACGGAGGCGGTTCACACACTTATGTATTTTGAAAAGACACATCTGAGAGTTATGGTACAAAATGTGGACTAACAGCCATCTAAATTGTCCCCTCATTTAGTCGAGTTTAAGGTGAGATGTACAATCTACCATGAATCTGGAAAATTATTGATCTTGATTGGTCAATAAGAGGTTTCAAATCACAATAACAACCTCTGACTGAAACAATTGATTTGAGGGCCATGGAAGTACAACGAAAGCTAATATTTGTTGAAAAATACTTCTTTCTCATTCAATGTCAATAGACATTTTGAAATAAAATATATATTTGATAATTTTGTCATGGCTGTGCATTCAATTCCAAAATAAATTCAGTATGATTAAATCTACCATGCCTACTGGCAACCTATCTCTACAATGAAAACACTGTGTGTTGCTCATGATACTGTTTGTTTGTTGTTTACTGCTGCACTCAGCAATATTCCAGCTATATGACGTTGATCTATAAATAATCAAGTTAATCCAATGATTAACATCATGAATCATCGATCTACGCAATTGGGATACAATGACATGCATCAAACAGTCATTGAGCCTGACCACCCGATCCAATCGTCGCCTTTTACGACAAGCACAGTCGCCAGCATGGGTTGCTGAAGACCTACTCTACCCTGGATATTCATGGGTGCTCATGATACTGGTCACCGGATTGTCTGGTTCAGACTTGATTATTTACAGGCCACCGTCGTATGGCAAGAGTATTATTTGGGTGTGGCGTCAGGCAAAAAACACTTAAAAACACTTACTTCTTTAGGAAAATTGTGTTAGTAGCGGGTGCTACCAGAGGTGAGGTGAGGTGAAATGGGGTTTAACGTCGCGTCCAAGATTATCGCACTTATATAGCGACGTGCATGTACGTGTGTGTGTTTGTGTGGCTGCTTGTACTAGTCAGGACTGATGCCGATTTATAGTGCTAGCTCACTGAGACACCATGCTGCAGTTTAACATGAATAACCAACTCAGACACAGTATACTGACTCCGGGCTGACCAGTCCTTGTTTTAGCCCCCTAATGCCAAGTGCCAGACAGGGTAACAACAAGTACCATCTTTTAACTTCTTTTGGTATGACGCGGTCGGGGATCGAACACCTGACTTTCCACTCTCCTGGCGGACGCTCTACCCCTAGACCACGGAGGCTGTCGGGTGCTGACAGTAGTGTAGGACATGCTTACCCTGTTTGCAAACACTGGGTGTCATCACTTATTTAAAGTGATTCATTCATTTAATTCACTGTTTTGCCTTTTTCACATGCTTTACATCATGGACCCGGTGTGGGCAGATAATCAATACTGATTAATTTCTGGTGCTGATGTATTGAATTCAAAATGTCATGCACCATCAAGGAAAAATAATCTTATATATTTTCATGCAAAACATAATATTCAAGCAATTACACAATGTCTATGACTTACAGTTAGATAGTTGTCCCACAGACGCCAGTTCTCAAAGTTGTATTTGATTGCATCTTTCAAAACTTTAAATGCAGCAGGTCTGGAAAAAGAAAATCAGTTGAAACTACAAAGTCTGTGAACAACATGTTATACTGTAGTCAAACATCCACACCCTGTAAACAATACACTAAAATTTAGTCGAAACTCCTTAATTTACACTCAGCCATCTGTAAGTGTCTAGTTCAGCTGTATCAGACTTCACATTACTCAAAGTCTTGAGTGTCATTGATAATGTTGATGCATATGAAATTAAAATGTATAATTGTACATTATTGGTAAGGATGGTAAGTTCGCCTTCGTTATTTCCTTTTAGGCAGAGATTCTGTAGAATCAAAATAATAGTCTAAGATATCGAAAAAATGATGTGTTATCATGGAGATAGCAGAAACAATTTGTTGTATGTGCATCTTCAATTAAATATCTTCAATGTTAATATCTAAGTTGTAATTCCTGCAGTAATCTCACTAATCAGATATTTTTTTTTGGTTTGGTTTGTTGTTTTACGCCGCACTCAGCAATATTCCAGCTAAATGATGGCGGTCTGTAAATAATCAAGTCTGAACCAGACAATCCAGTGATTAACATCATAAACATCGATCCAGGTAATTAGGATCGATGACATGCATCAACCAGGGCAGCGAGCCTGACCACCCGATCATGTTAGTCACCTTTTACGACAAGCACAGTCACCTTTTACGGCAAGCATGGGTTGCTGAAGAACTATTCTACCCCGGATCTTCACGGGTCCTCACTGATCAGAACCTCTGTCTACACTGGACTGATTGTGTCCAGGTTTATACAACACAACAGCCACTATCTGATCTGTCCATGTCAAGGCCTCAGTCACACGATCAGGATTTTTACTGCCGTCCTTGATCGGACCATTCCCGATTAAAATTCATCAAAAGTTTGATCAAGATCCTGTGATTCGTGGCAGAAAAATCACCAATTTGTAAAAACATTTATTGAATCACGACAATAATCAGATATTGTTCAGGAAGCGTCCCGATTCAGCCGTTTCAAGCCGAATTCCTCCCTATTATCCCGTTCTCAATCCGAATCTGATCCGCTTTGTATCTTCCGCATGGTAAACAATGGCCGAATCCCGTATTCTCCCGAATACAATCCGATAGAGATCAGACGGTGACCGACAAAGACTGTTCATATTCTTCAAGATCTGGCCGCAATCTGGACTCAATCGACAATAAAAGGCAATGAACAATTTCTCCTAATCATGCCCGTTCATCACGTCAGTATCATGATCCACAGGACACTGTCCAGACAACACAGGACATTGTTACGATTTTGATCCCATACAGCAGAATCTGTTACAACATAATCACGTTTGTAATCCGACTGAGTTTCCTGAATCTTACGGGACGCACTATACTGTCGGGAGTGCTTGGTCGACCTCTCTGGACCTTTCCCGATCCGTAGGACTCTGTTACGAACGTATACGAATGCGCTCAGACAATGATAGGACATTCCAGATCATTAAGGATAGCAATAAGACTGTTTCACTTTTCGTGTCGTAGCGCTGTCTGATCTCAAACGGGAGCCATAATCAGCACTGTGTGAACACAGCCTAAACTGAATTCATTTCTTAACAAGAGATGAAGATTTTGGCACTTACAATTTTTTCATTTTCACCAAACAAGTGGAAAGATTACCCCATGCTTCGAAATTCTGAAAAAAAAAAAAAAAATCATTTGATACAATTTATCTAATTCAGTGGCAGATGGCACTTAGCTGTATGCTACCATCTTCCCAAGGCAAGGGAGTTAACTGACTATAAAAGTCCAGTTTCCACCCTTGCAAAACTACGCTGGAAATATGGAGTTATATTTTGGCTGGACTAATGAGTCTAGGCATAGTCCAATAAAAATTGTGTAACGAAATCGTAAACTGCCGTGCAGATTTCAGTCAATTGCAGGATTTGCAACGCATTTGTACCATCATCTCGGCGTCAACAAACATTTTCCAAATCATTTCATATTTTAAATCAAGGTGTTCACATGATTTGATGCACTTCGCGAAATATGAAACTACTTTATTACAATATAGATCTTGATCATCGATCAAGTTGCCTTGACTGGGCGACACCTTTCACTTGAAGCAAATGCAAGTAATATGAGAGATGGAATCTGATTGGTCAATAGGAGGGACATATAAGGGACATCACTCGTAATAACCACTGGTTGCGCTACAATCTTCCCCAATTATACCAGCCTAGTTCGGCAAGGGTAGAAACTGGACTTTTAGAGTCAGTTAGCTCCCTTGCCTCGGGGGGATGCAGAACTTTGTGAATCCTGGATTCGAACCCACAATAGCAGATCCAGGCACAGTGGACGGCAGCACCAGAGACCAGATGGTCGCATCTGCCTCATTGTCAAATGTTTTGTGAGGTGAGATGATGGTAAAATTGGGTTTTACGTCGCGTCCAAGATTATTGCACTCATATAGCGACGTGCATGTACGTGTGTGTGTTTGTGTTGCTGCTTGTACTAGTCTGGACTGATGCCGATTTATAGTGCTAGCTCACTGAGATACCATGCTGCAGTTTAACATGAATACCCCACTCAGACACAGTATACTGACTCCGAGCAAACCAGTCCTTGTTTTAGTCCCTTAATGCCGAGCGCCAGACAGGGTAACAACAAGTACCATCTTTTTTACGTCTTTTGGTATGACGCGGCCGGGAATCGAACCCAGGACCTTCCGCTCTCCGGGCAGACGCTCTACCACTAGACCACGGAGGTGATCGAAATTTTTTGTAACAAGGGTAGAGATTGATAATAAAAAATTAATCTATCAAGTTTATCATGTCCTGTTACACAAATGTTTCATCAAGTCATATCATTACCGGTACGCAAAAATGATGTCCTTGATTTAACAGCTTGGTACACATAATTCCAGGAGCAGTGTTTTTATGGATGAAACTTCAGTATCTACATAGGGCAGCTTGATTTGGGATGAAAACCAATCTCATTAAAATCAGCCCTTAGTTCTCGCTACCGCTTGACAAAGATCTGAAGACATCCCATTAGGGGTCACGTCAGAACGACCTTTCATCCGACCAATCAGTGCGTCGCTTACCAGATTATGAAAGTGACAGTCGGAATGTGATTTCTAATCATGCAATCTCGAAAACTTTAACATGGGGCATTCCGAACAATAGTTACGGGTTTAACGACTGAATCCTTACAATCTAGACCATTCTAGAATGTGTTTTAGTTCAGGTTTCAAATTTGTAATCGAGAATTTGTCAAAATATGTTTCGAAACGTAGTCGCCAATTTGAAATTTGTGCTGTAAAGCACGAGAAAGCTGCCTTCTGATTGGTCAAAGTTCGCGCAAGGTCGGTCTGACGTGACCCGTAATGGGATGTCCTCAGATCTTTGATTAGCGGTAGCGAGAACTAAGATCTGATTTTAATGAGATTGGATGAAAACGTGAAGTAATTCAGGTCTTACACGTTTGCAACTGTGGTGAAAAAGGTACAGGTATGGTGCTAACATGCCCAGAATCACAATCAAGGAGGACTGGCAGTCAAACTCATTGTCATCAGTTTCTGGTGCGCCTAAAGAAAAGTCACTCCGTTCAAAGAATTGAGTGAGTTGGGTTTAACGCCGCTTTTAACTGTATTCCAGTTATATCACGGCGTGTCAGCTTAATGTGGGAGGAAAGCCTGAAGTGATGCAGGTCTCAGACGTTTATCACTTCGGTGAAACCCACAAGCAGGGGTATGCTGCTGACAAACCTAGAATCATAATGGGGCGGAACCGGGATTCGAACCCACAATCATAGGTTTCTGGCGTGCCCAAGGGACGCAACTCTGCACAGTGAATCATGGCGCCTTAGACGACTGGGCCACCCGTGCCCCCACCCTTTACCATATATTATCCTAACAGTTTAAAAGAATACGTGACAACAACCTTATACAATACCCCCGTGCACCCAATATCTACATAACTTGGCACAAGAAAGTAGGAAAAAACTGAACCGTTCATTGTGGTTAAAGGGCATGTAAAGTGAAAAATTATTGTTATTATTTTGAAGATATAAATTGTCGTATATATATTAAGCCAATTTCCGAGTGGCAAAAATTCCAACCATAAGTAGAAAGAATTTAAATGTCCAAGTGAAAGTGATGAGATCACATGCACCATAATTGTCTTCCAAAGATGTATTCGTAAGAGTAAAAGTATCATTTATATTTATCCTGATTCATACTAAAGCTTAAAAAAATAAAAGAATTGGTTCTCAGGCATTGACTTAAGAAAATATAGTGCGGGCGGACAGGCAGTGTTTCTTTTTATCGGGGGGGGGGGGGGAGTGTAGGTGTTCAAACTTGTATGTAACCAAACAAATAGAGGTGTACAATCAACCTGAGAAAAATGGCCTCCCCACATAAACAATCAAACAAACTTGTTTTGCCGCCATGACCATAACACGAGATGTAAAGGAAAGTAACTGTGTTATATTGTATTGAAGTGTTAGGCATTTTTTATTGTTTTGACAATGGAAATAACAACGAAACGGGTGGTAGACTCTATGATAATGCGGGCCATGCCTGAGAACCAAGACTATTATTTTTTAAGCCTAATTGCTTATCTCTCTCTGTTTCCGAAAGGTAGTGGAAACTTCCTGAACTGTGTTCCCGGGGACAGACAAAACAGCTCATACGAATACACCCCTGGTCTGAGCATGGGCACCAGGACCATGTGACCAAGGCCAGGAAGTTATCACTCTCTCATTACGGAGATCGTGGGTTCAGAACAAGATCTGTTCATTGAACTCGTTGAAAGTTTTCGTTTGGGGCAGGATTTCACCTGTTGTTTTTTATCGTCTGTTTTACGCTATTTCTGTGTTTTTCATAAATTTCATTTTGGTCAAGTATATTCTTAAAATTTGCAAAGTTGCTATGTTGACTTTACTTGCCCTTTAAGAAACCAATAGAGGGAAACTACTCTCTTGAAGTCATTACAAACCAAAGATTTAGACCAACGACTCACATCGGCTTCAATGTGGAGACATCGTCTGAAGGCTCCAGCGGCCTCTTCGTACTTCTCCACCGTCATGGCCGTGCAGCCGTACGTGAACCACACTGGGATCTGGAAGTCATCAACACAGTGTTTGTTTGTTTGTTTGTTGTTTAACGTTGCGCTCAGCAATATTCAAGCTATATGACGGCGGTCTGTAAGTAATCTAGTCTGAACCAGACAATCCAGTGATTGATATCATGAGCATCGATCCACCCAAGTGGGATCAATGAAATGCATCAACCAAGACAGCGAGTCTGACCACCCGATCCCATTAGTCGCCTCTTACGACAAACATAGTCGCCTTTTACTGAAGTTGCTGACGACCCATTCTACCCCAGATCTTCACGGGTCTTCAACACAGTTGGTAGACTTGATATCCGATATGGCAGCCAATGAGGCTCCCACCAAATGAAAGTCCAACAATTGGTTGTCTAGATCACATACTTTGTGTACACCTCTGACAAGTGTAAATTGGTACGGCTCCCATGGCCAAAAGCGATGAATACACAATGCCATTTAGAAAGTGGTCAAATGTAACAAATGTCAAAAAAGTACGAGAATCTGCACTCTACTAAGAAAGTGTTATCACAAATATAACATTTGTTACATCTGACCACTTTCTAAATGGCATTGTGTATTAAAAAAAAATGTTGCATAAGATTTGTGACATCAACACAATGCAGTATGTTGTAGGAAAATAAATGTGTCATTATACAATTTTTAACACAGTAGAGTTGTACCCTGTAGATACAAACTGATTACATTTCAATACCTGTCCATAGGTTCCTAACTTAGAACTGACTTGGTCTGCTTGAGGCTGTACTAGCCTGGTTTTGAAGACATACCTGTAGGGCATTTATTTCCAAGGACTTCTCAAAGCATTCCATGGACTGCGCATACTGGAAGAAATAACCAGAGGTAAAGACCTAGCTACATGATCAGAAAATACACATATTATATATATATGTGAGTGAGTGAGTGAGTGAGTAAGTGTGTGTGTGTGTGTGTGTGCGCGCGAGCGTCCGTGTGTGCATGAGTTTGTGTGAGTGTGTATATTTGTGAGTGTATGTGATCGTGTGTGTCAGAGTGTGCATGTGTGTATGTGTGAGAGTGTATGTGAGTGTGTGAGTGTTTTTGTGTGTATCTGTGTGTGCATACTTGTATGTGTCTGCGTGTGTGTGCTTGTCTGTGTATGTGTGAGTGCGTGCGTGCGTGTGTGCTTGTATTAGGAGTAAAGGAGTGAGTGGAGTTTTGTGTCTTTCTCCCAGGCAATTTGGGGGGCTTTATTCACAGACCAAGCAGACTTCAGGCAGGTAAAACAACGGCTGTTATTCTCAGACCACCCTGAAGCAGTCATTGTCAGTTACCACTACTGACTGACCAATGATCACAACTGGAGTAAACAGCAGATCCTGGTAGCTAAGGGACACAACTCTACACAGCAACTCGCAGTGCCTAACACTATATGGGCAACAGCGCCCATCTTTCCATGCAGCACTTGGAACAAAGTTAAACATGGGAGACAATCTATCAACACCATCCTCAAATGGCAAACCTGTGCAAAAATAGTGTCGGTCATTCAGAACCGTCCCAGTGCTAGGATCTTACAAGTGGGTTCAGCCATGTTGTGGCTAGTCAAACTTTCACCCCTTCTCTGTGTATATTTAACTGTTTTTTAATTGGACACTGTTCATGAATCATGTAATTTTGATGAGAAAATATTTAGGGGAGGTGACGTTGTTTGAATGGTTAACTCAAAGATCATCTCGGTGGAATGACACAACTGGCGGCCATTTTGTAATATTCCGTACAAGAACAACATCTTTATTTGCTCATAAAATAGCCACAAAATGAGGGAATGGAAGCTAAGATTTAATCTCAGAGTGCAGGCAAGACGTTTTGGTGATGGGGAGTTCAAAGATTTGCGGAGCACCCGGGGTAACTCAGTTCTGGCTTCCAACATTTAGTTTAGGGGGCAGTTAGTTTGGAGAATGGCCAGTTAATCTGGAGAAGGTCCAGTTAGCCTGGAGAAGGGCCAGTTAGTCTGGAGAAGGACCAGTTAGTTTGGAGAATGGCCAGTTAATCTGGAGAAGGTCCAGTTAGCCTGGAGAAGGTCCAGTTAGCCTGGAGAAGGACCAGTTAGTTTGGAGAATGGCCAGTTAATCTGGAGAAGGTCCAGTTAGCCTGGAGAAGGGCCAGTTAGTCTGGAGAAGGGCGAGTTAGCCTGGAGAAGGGCCAGTTAGCCTGGAGAAGGGCCACTTAGTCTGGAGAAGGGCCACTTAGTCTGGAGAAGGACCAGTTAGTCTGGAGAAGGGCCAGTTAGTCTGGAGAAGGTCCAGTTAGCCTGGAGAAGGGCCAGTTAGTCTGGAGAAGGGCCAGTTAGCCTGGAGAAGGTCCAGTTAGTCAGGAGAAGGGCCAGTTAGTCTGGAGAAGGGCCAGTTAGTTTGGAGAAGGGCCAGTTAGTCAGGAGAAGGGCCAGTTAGTCAGGAGAAGGGCCAGTTAGTCAGGAGAAGGGCCAGTTGGTTTGGAGAATGTCAGTTAGTTTGAAGAATGGCCAGTTAATCTGGAGAAGGTCCAGTTAGCCTGGAGAAGGGCCAGTTAGTCTGGAGAAGGGCGAGTTAGCCTGGAGAAGGGCCAGTTAGCCTGGAGAAGGGCCAGTTAGTCTGGAGAAGGGCCACTTAGTCTGGAGAAGGACCAGTTAGTCTGGAGAAGGGCCAGTTAGTCTGGAGAAGGTCCAGTTAGCCTGGAGAAGGGCCAGTTAGTCTGGAGAAGGGCCAGTTAGCCTGGAGAAGGTCCAGTTAGTCAGGAGAAGGGCCAGTTAGTCAGGAGAAGGGCCAGTTAGTTTGGAGAAGGGCCAGTTAGTCAGGAGAAGGGCCAGTTAGTCAGGAGAAGGGCCAGTTAGTCAGGAGAAGGGCCAGTTAGTCAGGAGAAGGGCCAGTTAGTTTGGAGAAGGGCCAGTTAGTCTGGAGAAGGGCCAGTTAGTTTGGAGAAGGGCCAGTTAGTCAGGAGAAGGGCCAGTTAGTTTGGAGAAGGGCCAGTTAGCCTGGAGAAGGTCCAGTTAGTCAGGAGAAGGTCCAGTTAGGCTGGAGAAGGGCCAGTTAGCCTGGAGAAGGTCCAGTTAGTCTGGAGGAAGGCCAGTTAGTTTGGAGAAGGGCCAGTTAGTCTGGAGAAGGGCCAGTAACTTTTGAAAGGAGCAAGCCCTGCTGGCTACATACAAACTTGTTAAATCTACCCCTGGCAAGGTGTACATGCCTCCTGTCTGCCGAAGTACAGGTAGCCCAGACATCGCATGGCCCGGGCACTCCGCCTGTTGGACAACTCCCACGCCTTATGGTAGTGGTCAGCATTCCGAGTCACATCACCCAGGAAGCAGTACAGGTTGGGCGTCTCCTTCACCTTCAACTGTTCTCGTATCAGACTTTCTGCCTGGATAATCAGAGCAAGAAAACACATCAATAATGTTACCCAACTTGACAACTGATCATATCTATTATTGTACATAGAGATTATTAGCCGTGTTCTATCGTGACATTATTTCTTGTGTTTCGATACTTGATGATTTCTGGCAAATCACAACTTGATGATGTCATACATTGGACAACATTATGTTTGAGAGGGAAGTGTCTGGTAAGTTGTTCCCCATAGATGTAGCTGGGCTATGCAGATAAACACAATGGCCAAACGATCGCATCCAAAAGTTGGAGGGATAAGACAATCGGTATTAGGAGATAAAGTACAGGTAATCCATGTGAGGATTGTGAGAATATGCGGGAAATACCAAACTTAACCCACCTGTTCATAAAATGGACTAGTCCGACATTTCCAAGGTCAAATTCGATTGAGGGAGTCATTATTATTAAAATTTGGGTGAATATTTATAAACATTTTATCAACATCCTTAAAGAGGTTTACATAATGTTGATATCTCATATAAGAAATAAACGACAAGTTGGAGTTGTTAATCATACGATAAAACAATGGGAAGAAAAATTATAAATGTATAAGAAACTTCACCATTAGTTGAGTATGTTCATGTGCTTTCAATAAAAACATTACAACTATTACATTCAGTATCTACCCTCATCCTTTGAAATTATAGATTATGAACTTAGGTGAGAGTTCCACACCTTCTCGAGTTTCCCCATCGTCTGGTAGCACGCAATGGCCTCTTCCCACATCTGTAGCCGTTCATAGATCTCCAGTCCGGCTCCCACCAGACCCAGGGACAACAGCAGGGTCGCCAGGTTCTTCTGCAAAAACACCTTCATATAATACTTTCCTACTACAACACATACTTCTAGAAAATGCAGCATGATAACACCTTCATATACTACTTTCCTATTACAGCATATACTTCTAGAAACTACTACTGCAATAACACCTTCATATACTACTTTCCTACTACAACACATACTTCCAGAAAACGCAGCATGATAACACCTTCATATACTACTTTCCTACTACAGCATATACTTCTAGAAACTACTACTGCAATAACACCTTCATATACTACTTTCCTACTACAACACATACTTCTAGAAAACAACCACTGCAATATTATCACCTTGCATCATATACTACATTTATGCAATACCATACCATATTTCTACATACCAAATTTATACATACCAATTACCATATTTAAATAATCAAGTGGTCTGGCTTTTTTCACTTTCCTCCTTAAACAACACATCTCTTCTTCAAAGTCCTACCTGAAGATACCATATGCTGGGCATCTTGGAGGCATAGAACAGGTTCTGTCTTCTTATAACTGGAGGGCTTGGCCGATCCGTCTGACTCACCAATTCCTGAAAATTCAATGACTCTAGGCATAAGCATGTTAGGCGACTTTGGATTCACTTTTAACGTACTTTATAACATCACAACATGACAGCATACAGACTGAAGTTGGAAAATCATAACTAATATGGGATTCAAACCCACTAACAGTGGATCCTGACAGGTAAGGGACACAACTCTGCACAGCAAATTGTGCCCCCTAACAAACTCGTAACACCAGTGTTCCTGTTCACCGGTAACTACCAGTTTTCATGTGACTGCCAGTCCCTGTGGACCGGTAAATAAAGTACTTATAAATCTTTGTTGTTGAGCAAAACATCAGCGATATTCATATAAGTATATTTTTCAAATGAAGTCAACTTGTCTGTTACCATCAGGGTTTCCCCTTGTCTATTTGTAGTGCAGGGAAATAACATTTTGCTTTGCTTCGAGGTTAAATATATATTTGTAGCAACTTAGAGAAAATTGTGACTGAACTTTGTGTGAATGACATGTAAATCTAATTAAGTTACTTCAGGGATGAAGTCATTGCACTGAACGTGATGTGGAAAGAAGTAAAACCAGGTAAATTTCATATGTTTTTTAATTTGTGGAAATTTGGGACTGACAAAAATTAGAGCCGACTGGTAATTTTTAGAGTTGGCAGTTTCAAAAGCCAACCCTGAACACTCCTCACCTGTAGGTGATGTGAAAATAGCAGCGTGCATAGATATGTATAGGTGGGAGTGAGTGAGTGAGTGAGTGAGTGAGTTGGGTTTAACACCGCTTTTAACTGTATTCCGGTTATATCGTGGCGTGTCAGCTTAACATGAGAGGAAAGCCCAAAGTGATGCAGGTCTCAGACGTTTACCACTTCGGGGAAACCCACAAGCACGGGTATGGTGCTGACAAACCTAGAAACATAATCGGGGCGAACTGGGATTCGAACCCACAATCATAGGTTTCTGGCGTGCCCAAGGGATGAACTCTGCACAGCGAATCGCGGCACCTTAGACGACTGGGCCACCCATGCCCCAATGTGTAGATAGGTGTGGGGTGGGTGCTTGTACTTGTCCGGACTTTTGCCAGTTCTTTGATAGTGCAAGCCCACTGAGACAACATGCCACAGTTTAAAACAGCCCATTCAGACACAGTACACTCCGAGCTTACCAGTCCTGGTTTGTGCCTCTTAATGACAAGTGCCAGGCAGGGTAACAACAAGTACCATGTTTTAACATCTTTTGATATGACACGGCCTGCAAATCAACCCCCCAACCTTCTGCTCTCCAGGCAGACTCTCGATCCCCTCAATGCCGAGCAATAGGCAGGAACCGTCTTTTAACATCTCCCGGCAGACACTCTCTCCCCTACACTTCGGGCCCTGTCTCCACACCAGTGACATCAAGTCTGTCTTACCTCATACTGGTTCATGGACCGCTCCACCCTTCGTCGGCTATCCCACTGGAGCTTGGAGCGAAGTGCCAGACACGTTGTACCAACACACCAGCTGCTCATATGATCTATAATACCCTTGGAAACAAATATTGCCATATTTAGAAATTCTGAAAAATGGATGACACATCATCACTGTCCCAAATCATCTAAACTGACAACATCACCATGGTAACTAACAGGTGAATGTCGTAACACAAAGGGTTAGGCATCTTCCCGAGGCAAGGGCGTTAACTGACTATAAAAGTCCATTTTCCACCCTTGCTGAACTAGGTCGGAATTTCCAGGCTCGATTGCAGCACCACCAGTGGCTATTATGAGTTATGTCCCTTCTATGTCCCTCATATTAACCAATCAGATTCCACCTCTAATATCACTTGCCATTGCTTCAAACAAAATGGCGGTGCCCAGTCAAGACAATCTGATGGATAATGAAGATCTATATTGTAGTAAAACCCACTAAGTGCATCAAATCATGTGAGCACCTTGATTAAAAACATGAAAATATTGGTAAAATATCTGTCGATGCCCAGTTGGCGGTACACATGCTTTCCAAATCCTGCAGACGACTGAAATCTGCACGTTGAAATATTTCACCATGTTGTTTACATAACAGATATCTGGTTTGTTACATGATTTCGGCTAGCCTATGCATAAGACTCATTAGTCAAGCCAAAATGTCACTCTGGAGTTCAAACAAATTTCGGAAAGGGTGGAAACTGGACTTCTATAGTCAGTTACCTCCCTTGCCTCGGGAAGATGAGAGTTAGGCAGTGTCTGGAAACACCCACACCCACTACTCACAATGACATATGTCAGGATCTCCTCCTCCGTCAGACGTTCAATTGCCATTTTCCTTTTGTAGTCCTCCCTGCATCAATCAAAACAAGCATGAAATGTCCCTCTGCCTCACTAATATGTCCAGTTGTGTGCAAGGCAAGCAATATTGTACATTTTTCAAAATATGGAACGAGCACTACCGCTATTTTCAGTCAAAGCTGTTGCTATTGAAACTCAAAATATTTTTTTTCTAAAAATACAAACTACCAAAAGGCACCAGTTTATCACTATACCTATCTATGTGCCAAGTTAGGTGAAGAAATATTGAACGGTTTTCAAGACATGCTCTGGAAAGGAGCACTACCACCATTTTCAGTCTAAGTCAAAGTCGTTGCCATGGAAACTCGAAATAATTTTTCAAAAATCCGAAACTATCAAAAGTCACCAGTTTACCACTTGACCTATATATGTGCCAAGTTTGGTTAAGATATCTCTCATGACTTCTGCTCCGGAAACAAAACGTGATGGACAGCTGGACGGATGGACCCCACCCATTCCTATATCCCCCTTCCATTTCGGGGGATAAAAAACATACCGATGAACACTTCTGAAGGGCTGAAACCATGGTAATGACACACCTTGTCACAATACAATATGAGTCTTGTGAGAAGACTGTGATATTACACAAAAACACGAAACCTAAAACCTGTGTTTATGAAGCAAGATTGTGATTTCTATAATGTTCTAAATGTGCCAGGACCTTATATTTACCAAGTCATTTAGCACTTAAGTTCAAGGAATTTCAAACCCTGTTTAGTGAATTGAATGATGTGGCAGTAGAGGCTGTTGCAAATGGGTTTCTAGTAGTGTGAGTGAGTGTTTCGGGTTTAACACCGCTTTTAACAGTATTCCAGTTATATCAAGGCGTGTCAGCTTCATGTGGGAGGAAAGCCTGAAGTGATGCAGGTCTCAAACGTTTACCACTTTGGGGAAACCCACGAGCACGGGTATGGTGCTGACAAACCTAGAACCATAATTGGGGCGAATCGGGATTCGAACCCACTTTTATAGGTTTCTGGCGTGCCCAAGGGACGCAACTCTGCACAGTGAATCACGGCGCCTTAGACGACTGGGCCACCCGTGCCCCCTGGGTTTCTAGTAATTGTCACTAGCAGCAAGTGATGGAAGAAGTGCCACTAAAATGTAGAGTGCTGTCGGTATCAGAGTTTGAAATGATTATAAAACCCAGCAAGACATTCGGGCAGCTGACCCATAAATGTTGCCTGCCGTTGCGTTTCAATTTGTTAAACAACTCATAACAACTGTTCCAGTCATACTACTTTGACTAACAAATAAAACTTTCAGTAGGGGTTGATTGTTAATGCTGGCGTGTTGGCCCATGGCCAGTAAAAATTACGAAAGGCTTGCTGAATCGTAAAGTAGATGGCCCGTCTGGCTGGACAAAATTTCACCCCTTCTCTGTGTATGTTTAATTTTTCAAATTTGACAATCCTGGTGAATTGTGTAATTTTGAGGAGAATATACATAGCGGGGATGAAGTCGTGTGAATGATTAAGTCAAAGATCATTTCGGAACAATAACACAACCGGCGGCCATTTTGTAATGCTCTATACAGCAACAACATCTTTATTTGATCATCAAATAGCCACGTAATGAGGCAAATGGAAGCTAAGATTTAACCTCAGAGTGCAGGAAATGAGATTCTAGTGGTGACGAGTTCTAAGATTTTTAGCCTGGAGAAGGGCCAGTTAGTCTGGAGAAGGGCCAGTTAGTCAGGAGAAGGGCCAGTTAGTCAGGAGAAGGGCCAGTTAGTTTGGAGAAGGGCCAGTTAGCCCGGAGAAGGTCCAGTTAGTCAGGAGAAGGGCCAGTTAGTTTGGAGAAGGGCCAGTTAGTCAGGAGAAGGGCCAGTTAGTCAGGAGAAGGGCCAGTTAGTCAGGAGAAGGGCCAGTTAGTTTGGAGAAGGGCCAGTTAGCCTGGAGAAGGTCCAGTTAGTCAGGAGAAGGGCCAGATAGTCTGGAGAAGGGCCAGTTAGTCTGGAGAAGGACCAGTTAGTTTGGAGAAGGGCAACTTAGTCTGGAGAAGGACCAGTTAGTTTGGAGAAGGGCCAGTTAGTCTGGAGAAGGGCCAGTTAGTCTGGAGAAGGACCAGTTAGTCTGGAGAAGGGCCAGTTAGTCTGGAGAAGGGCAACTTAGTCTGGAGAAGGACCAGTTAGTCTGGAGAAAGACCAGTTAGTCTGGAGAAGGGACAGTTAGTCTGGAGAAGGGACAGTTAATCTGGAGAAGGGCCAATTGGTTTGGAGAAGGACCGGTTAGTCTGGAGAAGGGCCACTTAGTCTGGAGAAGGGCCAGTTAGCCTGGAGAAGGGCAACTTAGTCTTTTGAGAAAGGAGCAAGCCCTGATCAGGCTTTAAGATCAAGTTTCACATAAAATCTGGGGGAGGTGCCTCTGAAAGCTGCGTACTTACATGATTCCGAGGACGACAGCCTGGTCCAGTTGTGAAAGGCGGACACAGAACTCGCGTTCCCCCTCCGCGAGCTGCACGCCGTCCAGCACAGTGTCATCATCCAGGGGGACATTCTGTGCACAATAGAGAGTTCAGCTTGTTACATGATCCTGCTACATTTCACAACCTTCGCTTCAGTCATTAAAAACCCCTTTACTCTTGCCAATCTGACATCACAAATGTCAAGAATGACTGGTGTTAGCTTGTTGACTGTGGCTTTGTGGGAGTAATAATAATAATATTAATAGTGAGCGAGTGAGTATGGTTTAACGCCGCTTTTAGCAATATTCCAGCAATATCACGGCTGGGGACACCAGAAATGGGTTTCACACATTTTACCCATGTCGGGAATTGAACCTGAGTCTTTGGCGTGACGAGCGAACGCTTTAACCACTAGGCTTACCGACCGCTCCAATAATAATAATAATAATAATAATTAAAAAAAAGAAAAAAGTAATGGTAATAATAATAATAGACCATTCATATTGCGCATATTTCCATACAACTCAGGGACATGCTCAAAGCAGTATTATTACTCCGGTCACTGGATCAGTGTGCACTCAAGAATCATTCTCAGCTCCCTTGGGAGTATACAGGTGCTAGGTTTACAACCAAATTGCCATCTCATCCTACCGGGTACCCATTCACTGCTGGGTGAACAGAGGCACATTTCAAACAGTCACTTGCCCAAGGAGACACCACATGTGTTACATGTGCTTCAGTGTGGGGCAGGACCGAAGCCCTAGAAACTCTCAGGACCCTAGCTGCCGAAATGTCGTCACCCATCCAAATGAGTTAATGATTGTAGCTTTATGAAGATTCCAGTATTATCAGTAATTATGGCACGGGACCCCAGACAACACAACAAAGTCAAATGATCATGCTTCTTAAACATATAATCATTGCTTGTCATTTAATGCCGCACTCCATAATATTTCAGTTATATGACCATGATGACGGCGGTGTGTTAATAATCAAGTCTGGACCAGACAATCCAGTGATTGATATTGCCCTCAGGATACGATGACACGCTATCAATCAAGTCACCGAGTCTGACCCCCTGATCCATTTGGGCATCTCTTACAACCAGCATAGGTTGCTGGGGACCAAGCAATGCCAAGAAGAGTTATCTCCCTTCAAATTATACGTCAAATGGACACAATAACATATATAGGAGAAGTAGGGCAGCATTTTTGTCTCATCAACTAAACTGCTCCACATCAGTGATTGAGCTGAGGCATCATTGCTCTCCTGACTTATGATCATGTTTTGTACCATTCATAATGATGACACAACTTAGTGAGTGAGTGAGTGAATTGGGTTTAACGCCGCTTTTAACAGTATTCCAGTTATATCACGGTGTGTCAGCTTAATGTGGGAGGAGAGCCCGAAGTGAAGCAGGTCTAGGACGTTTACCACTTCAGTGAAACCCACGAGCATGGCTAACAAACCTAGAAACATAATCGGGCGAACAAGGATTCGAACCCACAGTCATAGGTTTCTGTCGTACCCAAGGGACGCAACTCTGCACAGCGAATTGCATCGTCTTAAATGACTGGGCCACCCGTGCCAACTCAGGACACATGCCATGTATCATAATTTATTCGATACTTCTGTGTGAAAGACTGAGTTTTCTGAACTTGAGAAAACTGATATTTTCATTTCAGTGAATATAACACTTAACACTTGCTATTTCACTGCAGTGAACATAACACTTTGACAGAACTATTGTCATACAAGAGTTACCTCCCCTTAAATTGTCTCCCTTTATCGTAAGTGTCAAGCCCTTACACAAACTGTTGACTTCCTTTTCACGTTAGTTCCACATTGACAAGGCAAAATAATGACAGATGGTCATTTATGGAGTCCATATCACTTCTTCCAATTTGTTATTCTCTGAAAAATGTTTCCTTGTAAACTGTTAATTTTTCATTTAACTTGTAAATTGAGACAGTTCGTTTTGCAAAGCTCCATTTTAGTTACTTGACCAGAGTGTATTCTTTTGCTTCCATCAGCGGTCTCCTAGTTTTCAAGGATATTTTTTGTTAAAATTGTTTTTGTATATAATCATATCTAAATGTATGACAAAAAATCCCCGTGACCCTAAATATTTTTTTATACTTTTGTATATATTGTATAAGATTTTGCAAACACGAAAACACTTTTTAAGTCGAATATACAAGGGGTGGTGAACCGTCCCTGTGTGTTAGGTAGGGACATATTCCATATGTCTCGTGAAATATCACGTTTCTCTCATCTATGCCACTCATGAAAATATCTCCTGTCCCCCAGTCACTCTATAAGAGAAACATGATATTTTACTCGACACATGAAATATCCTCACTGATTTACCTTTGGAATGATAACTTCATCTGTTTTGCTTTCAAATGTCCCGGTTGAACACTCAGTGTCCGGCCTCGACACCTTCAACATGAGCTGAGCCTTGGCCTCCTGCTGGAACTTGGTTCTCTTGCCAAGAGCTCCTGGAACAACCCGCAATACAAAGTTTGAAAATTGTTGTCATGAGCTTCAGAATTAATCAATTTAATTTAGGTTTACATGTGCTGATTGCATCATTGTACCTAAAGGATATTATACTGAACCCTATCGGTCATATTCATTCTGTTCATATGACTTCCACCAAACTTGTATTTTTTCTAAGGTCAGTTATGCACATGTTAGAATTGAATAGACTTCACACTGTTACAAAAAAGGCCAAAAGATGTAAGAAAAAAAAGTCTTTTACTCAAACATCTGAATGCATCTGGTAACATATTTTTTAAAGGTATATTTCGCTTCCTAAATCATGCAAATGAATCCGGCCACAAAGATTGTCATCAAATCTTTTCTGTTTGTAGTGCCCCACTCAGCAATATTCCAGCTATATGACAGTTGTTTGTAAATAATCCAGTGTGAACCAGACAATCCAGTGTTTGACATCATGAGCATCGAGCCACACAATCGGAATCAGAAGACATGCATCAACCAAGTCAGCAAGTCTGACCACCCAATCCTGTTAGTCAGCTCTTATGACAAGCGGGGCGGTCGGGTAGCCTAGTGGTTAAAGCGTTCGCTCGTCACGCCGAAGACCCGGGTTCGATTCCCGACATGGGTACAATGTGTGAAGCCCATTTCTGGTGTCCCCCGCCGTGATATTGCTGGAATATTGCTAAAAGCGGCGTAAAACCATACTCACTCACTCACTTATGACAAGCAAAGTCACCTTTTACGGCAAGCATGGGTTGCTGAAGAGCTATTCTACCCCGGATCGTCATGGGTCCAAGTCTTTCCTTCAGTGAAACACACATGATACTGTAACTGGTTAAAGTTTAATTCCCTTGTGATCTGTGGACTGGAATCAGAAAAATAAATACCTGTCAGCTCGACCTGCAAGCCAGACAGTTTCCGGGCAGCGCCGAAACACGCTGTAGCTCTCCTGTACTCATAGAACGTGTGACACAGATGTCCGGCCTCCAGGTGGAACAAGATGGCCACGTCCCTGCAATACAGCCGCAGTGCTATCATGGATGAAGTGGTTAATACAGTGAACAGTAGTAGTGGGAAGATACACCAATGCATCGCAATTTTAAGTTTCTCGATACAAGAATCGATCAGTCGCACACTAAGTTAAAAGTATCGATTCTTACCTTAAATGTATTCTTCAATAAATGTTACACCAAACACTAATTACCAGTGAAAATGAGTAGTGAAAACATAAATATTTTAGTCCACTGTGCCATTCCTGACACTGCCAACTGTAAATTGTCAGTGTGCCAGGTATTTGGCCATCCTGTCTATGAAAAACATGGCTTATGCACCACAGAAGTGCACATGCAAGTATCGTGATACGTATCTGATCGCGAGCAAGGTATCGTGATACGCACAGTTGGTGTATCGTCCCAGCCCTAGTGAAGAGATCAACAAGAAAACAGCGTTATCACTCTCTCACACTATGGGGCACATTAGAGTTTTGCTTGTTCATATAGTAGTGAATAACATGGAGGTTAATGTTTACTATCAAACAGAGAGTCCTATTGGACCTTAAGAAAAGATAGGCACTGGGCTGGCTTGATGTCCTGGAAAAACTGATTTTCAAACTCTGACTTGATAAGTATCTATTAGATAAGCTTCGCTCATGTAACTTCAGTAGTTTCCCCATTGCGGAGACTATGCACTAAATAAATAAAAAATAACATGGATCAAGGGCCGTAACTGTGCATGCACAAAATCCAAAACACATGTAACAAGGGAAATAACTCTTGAAAAAAAATTATGGCTTAAATTTTTTTGAGTGAGTGAGTGAGTTGTGTTTTAACACCGCTTTTAACAGTATTCCAGTCATATCACGGCGTGTCAGCTTAATGTGGGAGGAAAGCTCGAAGTGATTCAGGTCTTAGACGTTTAACAATTTGGTGAAACCCACGAGCACGGGTATGGTACTGACAAACCTGGAAACAGAATCGGGGCGAACCGGGATTCAAACCCACAATCATAGATTTCTGGCGTGCCCAAGGGACGCAACTCTGCACAGTGAATTGCAGCGCCTTTGACGACTGGGCCATTTGTGCCCCCGAAATCCCCTAATAATGTTTTACTTAACCAACGTGTTGCACTAAACAAAGTAGTATGAGGCACAAAACATTTCTGTTGCACAAGTCATGCTAATGCAGCAAGACTGGCTGTGTATCCTGTAACCATGGTGACACCTCCAGGATGGTGTTCATCTCACCTGTTGTCATCACTCGTGATCAGCGGTTCCCTCTTAGACACTGCAACAGACAAGTCAAGGTTTTTGTGGGAATGTTTTTTGTTTGTTGTTTAACGCTGCACTCAGCAATATTCCACCTGTATTGCAGCGGTCTGTAAATAATTGAGTCTGGACCAGAAAATACAATGATTGACATCATGAACATCGATCCACGCAATTGGGATACGATGACATGCAACAACCAGGTCAGCAAGCCTGACCACTCAATCCCGTTAGTCGCCTCTTACAACCAGCGCAGTCACCTCTTAAGGCAAGAATTGGTTGCTGAAGACCTATTCTATCCTGGATCTTCATGGTCTTTTGTGGGAATGCATACTGATAGGATGAGAGCTCTTACTAAGATATGATAACTCTCATGGCAACGACGGTAATAAAATGATCGAGCTACAACATCATGTCGTTTAAGATACTGTGTTTTTATTATTATTATTATTATTATTATTAGACATATTGTTTTGGCAGATGTGTACAAGGATATGCATGGAAGCCTTATTCCATCAATCAACTGACCTTCGTCTATGATTCCCAGGACTGTGGCCTTGTGAGTCGGGGACTTCTCCTCCAGCAGATCCTGATGCAGCGACACGAACCTCATCAGCCACCAGTCGGAGGTCTGCAAGTGGGCAGGGAGTCGGTGAGTGAGTGAGGGAGTATGTGAGTGGTTGGGTGGGTGAGTGGGTGTGTGGTTGGTTGGGGGACTACGTGGGTGAGTGTATGGTTGGTTGGGAGGTCTGCAAGTGGGCAGGGAGTCGCTGAGTGAGTGAGGGAGTATGTGAGTGGTTGGGTGGGTGAGTGGGTGTGTGGTTGGTTGGGAGAACTATGTGGGTGAGTGTGTGGTTGGTTGGGAGGGTGAGTGGGTGTGTGGTTGGTTGGGGGAACTATGTGAGTGGTTGGTTGGGGGAGTATGTGGTTGGGTGGGTGTGTGGTTGGTTGTGGGGACTACGTGGGTGAATGTGTGGTTTTGGTTTGGTTTGGTTTGTTATTTTACGCCGCACTCGGCAATATTCCATCTATATGGCGGTGGTCTGTAAATAATTGAGTCTGGACCAGACAATCCAGTGATTGATATCATGAGCATCAATCCACGCAATTGGGATCGATGATATGCTTCAACCAAGTCAGCGAGCCTGACCACCCGATCCCGTTAGTCGCCTCTTACGACAATCATAGTCGCCTTTTAAGGCAAGCATGGGTTGCTGAAGACCTATTCTACCCCGGATCTTCACGGGTCCAAGTCTTTCCTTCAGTGGAACACACATGATATAGTGGAACACACATGTGTGGTTGGTGGGGCGGACAAGTGGGTGTGTGGGTGTTTGGTTCGTTTGTCGGAATTTGTGGGTGGATGTGTAGTTGGTTGGGTGGAATTTGTGGGTGGATGTGTATTTGGGTGGGTGACTGGGGTTGGGTGTGTGGTTAGTTGGGGGAATTTGTGGGTGGATGTGTGGTTGGTTGGGTGGGTGAGTGGGTGTGTGGTCGGTTGGGGGGAATTTGTGGGTGGATGTGTGGTTGGTCGGGTTGGTGAGTGGGGCAGGGGGTGTGGTTATTTGGGGAATTTGTTGGTGGATGTGTGGTTGGTCGGGTTGGTGAGTGTGGGTGGGGGTGTGGTTAGTTGGGGAATTTGTGTGTGGATGTGCGGGTGGTTCGGGTTGGTGAGTAGGGGTGGATATGTGGTTGGTCGGGTTGGTGAGTGGGGCAGGGGGTGTGGTTAGTTGGGGAATTTGTTGGTGGATGTGTGGTTGGTCGGGTTGGTGAGTGGGGGTGGGTGTGTAGTTAGTTGGGGGAATTTGTGGGTGGATGTGTGGTTAGTCGGGTGGGTGAGTTGGGGTGGGGGTGTGGTTAGTGGGGGGAATTTGTGGGTGGATGTGTGGTTGGTCAGGTGGGTGAGTGGGGGTGGGTGTGTAGTTAGTTGGGGGAATTTGTGGGTGGATGTGTGGTTAGTCGGGTGGGTGAGTGGGGGTGGGGGTGTGGTTAGTGGGGGGAATTTGTGGGTGGATGTGTGGGTGAGTGGGGTTGGGGGTGTAGTTAGTTGGGGGAATTTGTGGGTGGATGTGTGGGTGGTCGAGTGGGTGAGTGGGGGTGGATGTGTGGTTGGTCGGGTGGGTGAGTGGGGGTGGGGCTGTGGTTAGTTGGCAAACAGCACTTTGTTCTGTCTTACCTGCAAACTTTTCAAATGGTCACGACAATCAAGGAAGATAATTCTGGCTAGAAACAGATACGTGATATGTCTAGCCAAACTGTATACTGGTGCACCATCTTGGCTCAAGTCACCCAGTATGTACTCTATGAAGGCCTGAAAACAAAACAAAAATCTCTAATTTGCTGTAATTATATAGTTATAAACAACATTCATCTATCATATTTAAGGACAATCTCATTGATCATCTTGACAGGTTTGTATAGATACTCCTGAGGAAGGCAACTTTACTAACTGACCATGTGTTTGAGTATTGCTTTAAAAAGTTTAATTTATTCAAATTATTTATGGAAATTACACCCTATCCTGGTAACAATTCATATTTTGTTCTTATTTTTTATTTGTTATAAAATAGGACAAAAAAATAATAATTAAATTAATTGTTGCCAGGATAGGGATTTATTTTTTTTTCTTTCTTATTTTGTGTCATGTATTTTTGTGACCCGTGTAGATCCGGGGTAGAATAGATCTTTAGCAACCCATGCTTGCCGTAAAAGGCAACTATGCTTGTCGTAAGAAGCGACTAATGGGTTCGGGTGGTGAGGCTTACTGTCTTGGTTGATACATGTCATCGATCGATGATATTAATCACTGGATTGTCTGGTCCAGACTCGATTATTTACAGGCCGCGGTCATATAGCTGGAATATTGCTGAGTGCAGCGTTAAACAACAAACCAACCAACCAACCATATATTTTTGTGTCATCTCTATACAAGACAACTCTATAAGTATAGTAGGATTCTTGTACATGACATTTGTAGGCTAAGAAAATATTTGAGGGTTGCTCCAAGTCATCATCACCATCACCATCATCAACTTCTGAGTACCTTGTTTGACTGGCAGACAGAGGGGGCAAGATACTCCGTTGCTTGTTTGTCGGTCAACGGTCCTGTCCAGTTGTTCTGTACAAACAGCTGCAGACATGACGCTCCGACCAGCAGAACCTCCAGCTGCCTGTAACCATGGTTACACAGTAGCCTTAATACACATCAAGAGAAAAGTAGATTTTCAGCACGTAGAAAAGTTTGTGTACAAAGACCCGTCTCTTTGGCGTGATGAGCAAACACTTTAACCACCAGGCTACCCGACCACCCCACTGGCAGTGGAAGCTTACTGAAATACATTTTAGTGAAATAACACAACTGTTTAAAAAAGTCATTTTAATTAATTTACTGGAAATGATAGCAAAATATTTTTTAAGAACTCAGATTCATTAAGTCAACATGGTGAAGTAAGGATATAAATAATAATCTGGATTTTTAACACCTTTGAGTGGATAAGACGCATCCCATCAAATGCAAAGATTCAAGGGGATTCCACCTCGCGGTCAACGAGGTCCTCCAACTGCCCCCTCACTGGTCCGAGGCTCAGTTTGTTGGGTCGCTGCCGCTAATTGGCATCTGGTGATTACATGGGCTCATTAAACGGCACCAGCTAGACGTCATTGGTGTTAATGTTGTGTCTAAGATTACCGCACTTATATAGCAACTTGCATGCACGTGTGTGTATGTGGCTGCTTGTACTAGTCCCGACAAATGCCAATTTTATAGTGCTAGTCCACTGAGATACCATGTCGAAGTTTACCTTGAATATCCCACTCAGGCACAGTATACTGACTCCAAGCTGACCAGTCCTTGTTTTAGCTCCTTAAAGCCGAGTGCCAGACAGGGTAACAACAAGTACCATCTTTTAACGTCTTTATCATGTTTATGTATGACGTGGCCAGGGATCGAACCCCCGACCTTCCGCTCTCAGGACAGACGCTCTACCACTAGACCATAGAGGTAGTCACTGATAGTTGGTGTGAATTGTTTGATAGGCATTACTTAGACGTTGACGGATGACAAAGCAAACACAATTTATACCGAAACATCGCCTTTACAGTATTAATGAAGTTGCTATCCATAAATTGTGTCTACTTTGATAGTTGTTGTGTTGTTTCCCTTTAAATACACCATGTCTGAGGTGAGGTGAGGTGAAATGGAGTTTAAAGTCGCGTCCAAGATTATTGCACTTAATAAGTGTAGCGACGTGCATGTTTGTGTGTGTGTTTGTGTGGCTGCTTGTACTAGTCCAGACTGATGCCGATTTATAGTGCTAGCTCACTGAGAAACCATGCCGCAGTTTAACATGAATACCCAACTCAGACACAGTATACTGACTCCGAGCTGACCAGTCCTTGTTTGAGCCCCTTAATGCCAAGCGCCAGACAGGGTAACAACAAGTACCATCTTTCATCGTCTTTTGGTATGGCGCGGCTTGGGATCGAACCCCAAACCTTCCGCTATGTCTGAGCAAATGTGTGTCACACATGATACCTCGCGTTTAAGTTTAAGATTAACGTTAAAAGCTGTATAAAAAACTCACACAATATCTTTATCTCTGTCAGAATTGAGAATATATGTCTCCACATTGTGTGAAACAATTGCAGCTAAGGTGTCTTTATTCCCTGGGTTTTCCTTCAAGAGTTTTTCTCCAATGCCATGTTTCAAGACATCTTCATATTTCCCATGTAAAAAACTTTCCAATAGTTCCGTGCCGCAACCACCATCTGAAAAAGAAGTACAATTTATCATATCTATCCTGAAGACGACACATGTACATTGGTGAAAGTGAGTGAGTGAGTGAGTTGTGTTTAGCACCGCTTTTAATAGTATTTCAGTTTTATCACAGCGTGTCAGTTTAATGTGGAAGGAAAGCCCGAAGTGATGCAGGTCCCAGACGTTTACCACTTCGGTGAAACCCACGAGCATGGGTATGGTGCTGACAAACCTAGAAACATAATCGGAGCGAACGGGGATTCGAACCCATAATCATAGATTTCTGGCGTGCTCAAGGGACGCAACTCTGCACAGCGAACTGTAGTGCCTTAGACGACTGGTGATGAAAGATATTCCTAATCAAATCCAAGAAGTGAGGTTAACATGGTTGTTATGATGATCATGATGATGTCAACATGATATACTAATAATGATTATTTTTGATGCAATGATTAATTTTTGAAAGTGTCCAGAATCGACTCATGTTAATACCCTAATCTATATCAGATTTCTATGTATCTCAGATCATAGGTTTTCAAACATCATATGTTTTTGGACGGCCATGTTTATCATGACGGCTAGCGTTATAACGAGGGGTATGGCGTCAATTACACATTGTAAATACTCAGATGATGGCTTGTTCTTAAGATAAAGTTGTCTTTTATAAGTGACTGAGACATTTTACAGTTGTCTATGTGATTAATGAGAAAACTATAGATGTTTTTTAAGCATCCGAAAACCCTTAACACTGTGATAAATGTTGAAACAATCACCAAGTTCATTTTTCCTTATTAAATCTATAATAAATAGGTAGCCTAGTGGTTAAAGCGTTCGCTCGTCACGCCGAAGACCCGGGTTCAATTCCCGACATGAGTACAATGTGTGAAGTCCATTTCTGGTGTCCCCGCCGTGATATTGCTAGAATATTGCTAATAGGCGTAAATATACACACTCACTCACTCATTAGTCAGCCATACTGATGTTAAGGTATTTCAACAGAACCATTGACAACCATAATATGTTATTAGTGTTACTTTTGAAAGATACACATGGTAATCCATGCATGATTGATCAAAGATAAAATCATAATCAATTCCCAACACTATAATGTTACACACGATGTAGATAACATCACATACTGAATGAGTAAATTTTTCTCATTTTGTCTTTCTGTCATTTTTTCATGAAATAATTTATTCATTGTGTGTTCACAATTTATTCCAAAGTTTGTCACGTTTGAGGCGAGTTGAGTTTAGGCCTTCAACATTTACACGTGTTACATGAAATATATAACAACCAAGGAAAGTAACGTGACACTGGAGTCATGGTCGTATTGACTTTTAGAAATTGCCACTGATTAACTAGCCCTATGCCACTCCCACTAGTGGTAGAGAGTCTGAGATTTACACTGGCCGCACATAGACACACATCGAGGATCGACGATCAGTTCTTGTCATGCAAAATCAAATACATATTCTTTGAAAACCATCTGCCAGTACAAGATCTACATACCCTGTAGTCGGGATGGAGTGTGGCCGAATAGAACAGCTATCTCAGCTTCCCTGACAAACACCATGGCTCAAACTCACGCATTTGCATGGGCGCTGACACATTGGATGCTGCACTCTGGGAAGGGCCGAAAACAAATTGGCGTACCGCTAAAAAATAAACCGTAACTGGCGCGGCGAAATGTTTTTCTTCAAATAAAAACGGACTTTTCAAAACGTCAATATATTTCTTGCATTGTTATGCTTTTCTATGCCAATGTGTAGTGGTGCATGAGCATTAGAACACATATAGTGGCCTATATGAGCATCAGGGCATGAGTTTTACTACATAACGGTACATGGATATCATACTACTGTTGTTTCTAAACGAGCGAACTCTATGCTTGTCGTATGAGGCATTTAAATGCATCGGGTGATGAGACTCGGCGACTTTAGGTTAATTGCGTATCATCGTTCCCCGATGTCGTGGGACGATGCTTATAATATCAATCACAGGTTTGTCTGGTCCGATCATTTAAATGCTGCCGTCACAGAGCTGAAATATTGTTGAGTAAGACATTAAATAACAAACACAATATTATTAATTACCACAGGGTATTTATACGTAAAAATAATTGGCATGCTACACTCTGGTATGTAAATACAGACAGTCTACACTAGTGGTAGAGCGTCCGCCCGGAGAGCGGAAGGTCCGGGGTTCGATCCCCGGCCGCGTCATACCAGAAGACGTAAAAAGATGGTACTTGTTGCTACCTTGTCAGGCGCTCCGCATTAAGGGGCTAAAACAAGGACTGGTCGGCTCGGAGTCAGTATACTATGTTTGAGTGGGGTATTCATGTTAAACTGCGGCATGGTATCTCAGTGGCGAGCACTAAAAATCGGCATCAGTCCAGACTAGTACAAGCAGCCACACACACAAACGTTCATACGCGCCGCTACATAAGTGCAATAATCTTGGACGCGACATTAAATCCCATTTCACAACACCTCACCTCACCAAGTCAATTTTATTATTTTTTTAAATTATTATTATTTTTATTTTTTTAATTTTTTTTTTTTAAAGTCAACGTTAGTATTGCCATACGAGCAGACGTCACGACGCGTCAGGGCAAGAAATTGTATAGGGGGGTGACCGTTGCCAGGACAAAGCTGACGACTGTGCACTGTATCCACACAACGATACTCTTGTAAAATCGGTTGTATTGTTCTCATCTATTGACATTTTGTTTTTGAATATAATATGATGAGGCAAAACATGCATCCAATTTTCATGATGTGTTCCCAAACTTTAAGTCACCAGAGTATAACTTCAAGAACTAGTCGATTCGGCAGACAAAGCGGGGACATAGCAGTATTTTATAAGCAAGAAATATGTTCATTTTTCAAACGACTACATAGTGAACGGGAATATAGAAAAAGATTCAAAGCTTAGAACAAATGGCGCTCACCGATATCCTGTACGTGATATATTGTACTATTGGCCCTATGGCCTCTCATACAAATAAAGTATGTCCGTCCGAGTGTGAAATCATTTTCCTGAAAATACATATACTAGTATCAACGACAGCTAAACTAGGGACATTTAAATAGATAATGAAAGTCGCACAGATGCTTGATCTGTCAGTAAATTGTGAACAGAGGTTATGTATTTAAGTAAAGGTATTGTTATATTATGGGGAAGTAATACATATTTATCGAAAGAAGAAAGTTAAATATCCTACAATTCAATTACTCTTTGAAATATGCTGAAACGAGCTACGTCCAATATGACAGTACGTGCAAGCACTGTCTCTGCCATACTTCATGACTTTCTTTAATGGAGGAGTGGTAGGGTAGCCTAGTGGTTAAAGCGTTCGCTCGTCACGCGGAAGGCCCGGGTTCGATTCCTTACATGGGTACAATGTCTGAAGCCCATTTCTGGTGTCCCCCGTCGTGATCTTGCTAGAACGTTGCTAAAAGCGATGTAAAAACATACACAATCACTCAATCAATCTTAATGGACCTATAATTTCACGGGATACATTCTTTTGTCAAATATGAATTCCTCGTATTTTTTATTACTTGGTTATTGAACTACGTATGGTGAGTGTGTCTAGTAAAGTTATTATTTGGAGGAGTATTGTAAAAGGAACTGATGAGAATGAACCAATGAAGCGCTGAATGCATGAATATTCGTGAGGAGAGACGTTTATAGACGTTGTAGTTCGTAGGTGATACACAAACTCAGCTCAACAAACCGATATTGAAAATGGGACACACGTCCTTCTAATATGACATCGTTACATCACTGGGGGTGAACTACTAACATCACAGTGTCACAGTAAGTACAAAGAAAGTATCTATGAATACAATAATATGTGATCCAAGAAGTCAGAAATTTAAGTGTTACACGAACTAACATTATCCGAAGATTCCGGGGTAGAATAGGTCTTCAGCAACCCATGCTTGCCGTAAAGGGTGACTATGCTTGTCGTAAAAGGCGACTAACGGGATCGGTTGGTCAGTCTCGCTGACTTGGTTGATGCATGTCATCGATCCCAATTGCGTGGATCGATGCTCATGATATTAATCATTGGATTGTCTGGTCCAGACTCGATTATTTACAGACTGCCGTCATATAGCTGGAATATTGCTGAGTGCGGCGTTAAACAACCAACCAACCAACCAACCCTATGCATCTCTGCAATGAACCGGGATACTTGTAACCGGGATACTTGTAACCGGGATTCTCAGCAGCATCAAGTATTCACCAAACACGAACATTCTCAGCGGTTGAAGTAAACATGCAACATAAACATTCTCAGCAGTTGAAGTAAAGGCATTACAAACATTCTCAGGGGTATTGAACAAACATACAAGACACACATTCTCAGCAGCATGAAGTAAACATGCAACACGACAATTCTTAGCAGTTGAAGTAAACATGCAACATAAACATTCTCAGTAGTATAAATAGAGGATTCATCACGAGTGTTTTTTTAATATGGGAAATATCAACCTCGTCCCGTTAATCGGTATTTGCCTCGCCAAAGGCTCGGCAAATACCGATTAACTAAGACTCGGTTGATATTTCCCATATTAAAAACACTCGTGATGAATCCTCTATTTATCATTTAACTTAGGCATTTAACCATGACATAAGCTTATGACATAAAAACATGTATGTCATACCCCAATGACATAAGTATGCAAATTAGATATGCAAATTAGATAACCGGAAGAGGGAGCGGTTTGATTTAAAACTATATATTATAAGTGAAGTTACACCAGAGATATAATCAGATTACACAGAATCGTTGTTGTTACCGTTATTAAAGTTTCAATTATTCTGCAAAAGTCTGTTCAAGTATTTTGTTTAAAATAATCCGATAAACTTTTTTTCTCAGCGAATTGTTTATTTTGGTACATTCTCAGTAGTATGAAGTAAATGTGCAACACGACAATTCTCAGCAGTTGAAGTAAACATGCAACATAAACATTCTCAGTAGTATAAAGTAAATGTGCAACAAGAAAATTCTCAGCAGTTGAAGTAATGTGCAACATAAACTTTCTCAGTAGTATAAAGTAAATGTGCAACACGACAATTCTCAGCTGTTGAAGTAAACATGCAACATAAACATTCTCAGTAGTATAAAGTAAATGTGCAACACGACAATTCTCAGCAGTTGAAGTAAACATCCAACATAAACATTCTCAGTAGTATAAATTAAATATGAAACACGACAATTCTCAGCAGTTGAAGTAAACATGCAACATAAACATTCTCAGTGGTATGAAGTAAACACCAAACACGAACATTGTCAGTAGTACAAAGTAAACGTGCAACACGACAATTCTCAGCTGTTGAAGTAAACATGCAACATAAACATTCTCAGTAGTATAAAGTAAATGTGCAACACGACAATTCTCAGCAGTTGAAGTAAACATGCAACATAAACATTCTCAGTAGTATAAAGTAAACGTGCAACACGACAATTCTCAGCTGTTGAAGTAAACATGCAACATAAACATTCTCAGTAGTATAAAGTAAATGTGCAACACGACAATTCTCAGCTGTTGAAGTAAACATGCAACATAAACATTCTGAGTAGTATGAAGTAAGTGTGCAACACGACAATTCTAAGCAGTTGAAGTAAACATGCAACATAAACATTCTCAGTAGTATAAAGTAAATGTGCAACACGACAATTCTAAGCAGTTGAAGTAAACATGCAACATAAACATTCTCAGTAGTATAAAGTAAATGTGCAACATAAACATTCTCAGTAGTATGAAGTAAACACCAAACACGAACATTCTCAGTAGTATAAAGTAAACGTGCAACACGACAATTCTCAGCTGTTGAAGTAAACATGCAACATAAACATTCTCAGTAGTATAAAGTAAATGTGCAACGCGACAATTCTAAGCAGTTGAAGTAAACATGCAACATAAACATTCTCAGTAGTATGAAGTAAATGTGCAACACGACAATTCTAAGCAGTTGAAGTAAACATGCAACATAAACATTCTCAGTAGTATAAAGTAAATGTGCAACACGACAATTCTAAGCAGTTGAAGTAAACATGCAACATAAACATTCTCAGTAGTATAAAGTTAATGTGCAACACGACAATTCTAAGCAGTTGAAGTAAACATGCAACATGAACATTCTCAGTAGTATGAAGTAAATGTGCAACACGACAATTCTAAGCAGTTGAAGTAAACATGCAACATAAACATCCTCAGTAGTATGAAGTAAATGTGCAACACGACAATTCTAAGCAGTTGAAGTAAACATGCAACATAAACATCCTCAGTAGTATGAAGTAAATGTGCAACACGACAATTCTCAGCAGTTGAAGTAAACATCCAACATAAACATTCTCAGTAGTATAAAGTAAATATGAAACACGACAATTCTCAGCAGTTGAAGTAAACATGCAACATAAACATTCTCAGTGGTATGAAGTAAACACCAAACACGAACATTGTCGGTAGTATAAAGTAAACATGCAACACGACAATTCTCAGCTGTTGAAGTAAACATGCAACATAAACATTCTCAGTAGTATATAGTAAATGTGCAACACGACAATTCTCAGCAGTTGAAGTAAACATGCAACATAAACATTC